TGGGCTGTTCCAAGTGCACATCTTGCATGGCAGAGAAAGGCATTTCAAACGACTGGAAACGTTTGCCACTTTCGGGCATAAATATCACACGATGTGAGAGTCAAATAAACCGAGCCATTGTACTTGCCATGCAAATTCTAAAACATTGAATAAAGAAGGGACAGTTAAAAATTTGTGCGTCAACTACCTCATTGCTGTTCTTCTCGATAGACATTACGACACCTTGTCCGAATACCAGTATGACCTCTCCATTATAAATCAAAACTCCCCGTCCATCAGGAGTGTTAGCTGTATTGATCGACATCTTCTCAAGTAGACCTTTAAAATGACTTCATACGCAAACCCATTGTCGAAACATCAACACAGCGTTCAAGGTATTGCGAGCGAACGCCTGTCAGCAGTAAGGCCAAAAACGAATGCACATATAATCGTTTAATTCAAAATGTGAAAATAAAGCAACGAAGTGCTCGACGACTTGGCTATTACTGAGCCTATTCAAAACAGAAATAATTACAGTAGGCATAGCACCAAAACTATAATAGTAACCTATTCTATCTAGTAAGTATGACCGAAAGTCATGGACGGCTAGAACAAAAAATACACCGTGATATTGAACGAGCAAGTAAAACTTTCTACTTTTCTCGCTGAAGCTGCACCATGAATTCCTCCAACTTCTCCTGTATTCGACGAACTTGTTCTAAAAGCAACAGTGATCATGTTCATCGAGAGATCGCTCAAAATACTACTAGATACAATCAACCAAAATAAAATCTCACTAAGTTCCTCGGCAAGATCTACTCTTCGTCCCGTAAGATACTTTCGCTTGACCTCTGCATCCTGTGACCATTCATCCAATACATCCTGAAAGGACGCAAATCAGGTGTACACTATCGAAATATTAAATTGTCAGATAAATTCCTGCATTTTTTTTTGATATTGGTTTTCAATCTCTCGTAGCGGAACATTAAAATCAGATTGTATTTCTGCAAGCTCCTTGATCATTTCTGCCTAAAGAAATAGGAGTGTTTGATCATTTTGTGGAAGAAATCACACTCCAGGAGGTATTCCACGAATAGACAAAAAACAAACAAACAATAAGGGACGCTGCCGTTTTCGCCAAGGAATCGAAGATAAGGTGGGCCGGACACGTCATGCGATTTTGCGATGACCGTTGGACCAGAGCGGTTACCGACTGGATCCCTCGGGACGTCAAACGAACACCTGGACGACCGCCGGCCCGATGGTCAGACTTCTTCACGAAAGCTCTGAACGAAAGGAATGAAGGACTTCGTGTCCCTCGAGCGAGGAGGATCCACTGGACCACTCTTAGCACGCGACAGGGACGAATGGAGACGTTGCTGGCGCCCGCTCGAGCAAATCGACGATCAACGGGACGACAGGTGATACAGGTGAATGGCTTTCCACGATACAGCCATTATGATCGTCCATGTCCAGGTAAGCCATAAGCGCGGTAGAAGAATAACGAAAGCCTTAAGATGCTTTGACGGGGAGGTCAAAGAGGTATGAAGAACCCCTCAAACAAGGTCGGAGTGTGGCCACGTGCTAAAGCGCACCACCACACGGCGTGCTTTTGAATTCTCCATGGTGACTACGCGTATAGAGAAAATGTTCAGGGGCCAGCAGCCAATCCCTCGAATTAGTCAAACCCCAACTTGTAGAAATTTATCTACGCAAAACTGCAGAAGAGTTCGCTATCAAATTCGCTTGGCCCAGAACGAAGCTCGTCAGTAAAGTGAAGACTTTAGAAGTGGAAAAAATTTATAGCGGTCCTCGACCAGTGGAGACTTTTCTCTATGCGCTGTTAATACTTCCTGTACCATTGGGCTGCGAATTATGCCTCGATTAGATTCGCAGCATGTTCATGCGCGGCATGTTCGTGCTCGCTTGAGCAAAACAGAATCTGTGAGCCGGAGTAAATGCAGGCAGCTCAGGGGAGTGAAGGACGTACTTGACATATGCAAAAAACTGGAATGTTCGAGTTTACACTGAAAATGCCGCGCGCACAGGCGGCGATTGCCTCCCAACTAGGTTAGCGCCCAAGTGTAGCATGAAAAGACGCGCAGGAGACAGCAACCACTGAACTACGGTAGGTAATCCCTCCGCTCAAAGCGCGGCAGCCTCTAAGTGGAAGCCGAACGCTCTTCAAATTCCGCATTCAGTCGTCACTGGCTAGAACTTCGAAACCCTCATGGTATCATAATTTGCCAACATCAAGACTACGAATTCAAAAATGACAAAACAGGTAAAAGCTCTCAAGAAAACAATCAACAATGTAAACGAGATAAGACTCCCGCAAGTCTATCCGGTTCAAACCTCAACTCAAGGGTTTTTTCATTAGGCAAGTTGATGGCCTTACAAGCCGTGGCCTTGCCTTTTTGGCGGCATAAATCAAATGGCGCAGACGAAAGCTACCGGCAGTACACGCCAGCAGTCCCTCTCCAGCAGCAATACTCACTCCCCTTACCTACGACGTCGAAAGCAGAATCATTAAGACTTTTGACATTAGATCGAAACGGTATCTTTAAAAAATCACAAATCTTGACAAAAAAGCGAAAAAGCAGCTTATGATTGTTTTGGTCACACGCACAATTTTGCAGCCATTTCCTGAGCAAATTCTGCTACAGAACTTATTTACACCTGTCCTCAACAGTATTTCTGAATTTCTCCTCTAAGAAAGGAAAAATTGGAAAACAATGAAAAAAATGACACCAACCTTGACTTCCTTTTCGAGCATACGTTGCTCAGCATTTGTTATTTGTTGGCGAAGAGCATTACAAGTTAGCTTCACCATTCGTTGAATCCTAAATCCCGCATTTAAAAATAAAATTCTACTAGAAACTTCGCCCACGTACACATACCATCTCGATGTCTCTTAACAAAACACTGTAACAAATTTCTATGGGAACTCAGACTTTTTCATACCTAATCCGTGACCGTGCTGAGGGCTTTATTACAATACACGGGACACAGGGTGACCCAGGTGAATCTTGCACATATAAATAAAACCAGCTAATCGCCAGCGTTATCGGATTGGATGAAAGCAAATAGCTCATACTTCATAAAAATCCGATTAAGCTATCGGTCGAAAGATGAACTGTGTACAAGGCGTCTGGTCACCGAAATGTGTCACCGATGTCTGGGCAAGTGAAACGAGCTGACAAAGGTACCTCATCACGCCTTGTATGAATGGTAATAAAAAATAACTGCGGTATCAATAACTTATGGATGTCATCAGTGTCTGTCTTCTAGAGAAATATTTAAGACAGATAACAAACTTGCCAAAAAAGTGGCAGAAGAGCGAGCTACCGAATACTCAATTTCAAACGTATTTGACTTTACAATGTGAAGCAATTCCGTGTAAATTGTACCTGTGGAACAATACAACTGCTTGGCAATCTATATCGCCCTCATTAAATCCTTGGCGATAGTGCTGATACAAGGATAGGCAATCGCGGCTGTTCTGAATATGGACAGTATTCTTTGCTCTGTTATTACACAATCGCCTCAAAGAATTGAATTTCCACCTGGATAATTTTCTCTAAGAAATACTTCTTGTATATGAGATTCCACTGACGCCGGACGGTTTCTGTTGGAACTTCTATAACACCTTTTGTCTCTAGATTGCGCTTGATCACAAGAACGTCCTCATCAGACAATGACTGCTTGGGTTCCTTAAGTAAAAATGAGTTCCTTGCGTATTTGTTCGGAAAAGTTCATAAATTAAATATTCTCACTGTATCACTAGCAAGCATAGGTGTGAGCTCATCCTGGACTGCACTCGCGAAGTGGTTATCTGCTGATGGAGTATGCCAAAATACCCAACGATTAATGAAACCAGGCCCGCGAGCCTCTTTCAACTGCTGATTGACCACGGCTAATCGACTTGAGGCAGCCTAAGCACAATTAATCTACTAAGAGAACACGCAAACATTAGAGGCTTTGCATACTTTGCTCATAAATTGACAAGCAGAGTCCCACGACCTTCTATCTGGCACTGCGCGATCCTCCATTGCACTGAGTTGGATGACACGCTGCAATTATTTTTAAAGCCGCTATGGGGTGCTTTGAAATCTTTAAAAATAACGCTCCAACTATGTACTTTCTACTCGTTAGAGCACCTCAAGTGCCAGCGACAGTTTGACTTTCAAAATTTTTACAGGACGTGACGAATGATAAACAACACCTACCAAATAATCCAGCGCTTTGCTATCCCAGTGATGGGTGGACATGGCTTCATGAATAACAGCATCTTTCAAAGGGTCAAATATTGGATCTTGGTCGCTTTTATTTGAACCGTCCTGCTTCACTTGTCGACAGAAAACCTCACGCAATGTCTCCCATCCACACTGAAAACGACTTAGGTTTTACGATTATTCTAGGCAGGAGGGTACGGAAAGCTAATATGATGAAAACAAAAACCATTAAGGTTTTAGAAACAATATAAAAGATTAAAACGTAAGACCACTCACATTCACACTTTTGAGAGGAAGTTCCTTGTCGGCCCAATGTTTAAGGCGAATATCGACCATCGTGTTGAAAGTTCTGAAGAGAGGCTAAATTTGTAACGTTCATACAGCTATTATAGCATCATGCGTGACTACGACTTTTATTACTCCCAGAGATGGAGTTTCAATAAAGATAATTTTCTTGCTCACAGGGAATATGTATAGTTGGTCGTCCGATCGTAACGATCGCAACGGCCGCATAGCGCTAGGTACGTCGATCGTCGAATACTCAGATAAGTCTGACGATCGATTCGCATCCAATGCTGTGCGACTGTTATGATCGTTACGATGATCTGGTCACTCCTAGCAAAAAATTCAGGCTTCACTTAGATTTTACTCTAGAACCGGAAAGCTAAGGTTGCATTACGTGATGAGTCACCTTCGTCGCTAGGGGCGCATGCATAGTTTTGTCCGATGATTTACGGACTACTTGAACTTTCTTCCATGGTCCTGCCACGAATGGCGGAGGGCACAGACAGTTAGAGAACGGCGCCTGGCTCGGCTCCAAATCCCAGGGAAGGAGGTGAGAGCCCTAGGACTAAGCCTTGTAGGAGGGAGGGACTTCGAGGTGGGTGAGCCAACTACAGTGTGGCAAAAGTTTGAATGTGTGTGATCACAATGGTCATGATAAGGTGAGAGAGCGCAGACGAGAGATGGATCTGAGGCGGCTTAAAGGACCGGGTTCAAGTAGTCCGTCAACCGTTGTCCGATTGTAACGATCGCACAGTATTGGATACGTAGTGATCGTCTGACGTGCGACACATGCGATCGTGACGACCGACTATGAATGCGCCCTAGTATCTTAGCACTCATCGCAAAACTGCAACCACTAAACACGAAAAAATTGTTAAAATCTCGTTTATTTCAAAGGTAATTTAATAACTTTAGAAACTCCAGAAAAAAACATGAACCAACCCTGCGTTGTTTACAACCCATGCTGGCATCAGAATCTGATCGAAAACATGACCGGAAACACAGTCCCACAGCTTCTTCTCCAAAGCCTTCTCCCATTCCTCAGCACTAACAAGAGACAGGTTCACGATCTCATCGAGAATTTCGCCACGCGCCTAAACGAGTAGTATACGAAGTAGAACAAATCCTTCACCTTGAAATGGCACAGTACGAAAAATGGGATGTCAAGAGCGTATGACGTGCATGCAATGAAAACACTACATACCTTGTCAAACAGTTCATCTCTATCCAGCTGTCGAATACGTGGAAAAGTGTTCTTCCACTCCGTTTCAAGGTTGAACCTGAACTATCAACTGTATTATCGCACTAGAACAAGTGGTTCCATCACAAGGACAAGAAAATTATACCAAAATGCTTCAGGCGTTTCCCTTACTACAATCTTCTATTTTCTTTGTATTATTCAAATATTTTGCTACATTCGTCATATCAAAAGCCTATATGAGCGAAAAGATTGCGATTAAAAGAAAATTCAAGAGGAGTCCACGTAACTTTTGTTTTCAAACTACACACGTTGTAAAAAGTGATGCCAAAATGAAAATAGAAAAAAACCTCGTTGCACGGAAAGCGTCAGCTTGGCTCTCTATTGAGTCACGAACCATCCTCCAAAAACAGTCAGAAACCGCGAATGACATATTTTTAGTAGTCATCTGTGATGGCTTCAGTACACCATCTCTGGAACACTAATATCTTACACTTAAAAGCACGCACATTTATTTTGATCACTGAAACAGAAAATGTAGAGAATGTTAAGCAAAGGCTTACTTCAGTAGCTGACTGTTAGCGAAAAACTCTTCTTCATACTTGTGTATTTCTTCTATGGAATCGGCACTGTTACCACGACCCGTCACTACCCCAAAATAGCCTAGCGCTTTCATAGGAAACAATTTTCCTTCCAAAATTTTCTTTATTCTGTCAGGATTGGTTAAATTCTTCTCTGCCATATCTACCTGAAAATGTAATTAATCGATTGTGGATGAGTAGATAATTGAACGCTCAGTTAGAGCTGATAGCCACCTTGGTTAAAACTAGAATAGTCCTTTTGCCAGCAGGATCGATACTGCTAACTAGATCTGTTACATTGCTACGTTCTGCATCCACCGAGCTGCAAATGTTCAAGTTTAACGATGGAACTCAACTTTAAATTGATCCGTACGTTATTCTCACCCATCCTGTATGCATAGTATGATCGCATTCGGGTTTTCCATATGAGAGCGACTCATCTTGATTATGTCGTCCTTTGTCTCCCTGGCCATGTCAGCAGTTACTGTAGAAATCACGCCAGGAAGGTCTACCAGAACCATTCGGGCAAGATTTGGTCCTGAATAAAGAAAGCGTTTGCACAAATATTCAACGTATACTAATGGAGTCTCATAACGATTCAGAAACCTTTCACAGTGAGGGCTATGACGTCGTGAGATACGGTACGTCCATCCTTGACAGAATTCCTCATTCGGATCTCAATCTCTGACCTCAACTGTTTCAAATCATCTTCCTTGGATAAATCAAACTCGCGAGAAGAGTCTTTGAACTGAGCTACGTGATACGGACCTTCTGATAAGGTCACCTGAAAAAAGCATATCTCAGACGCCGAAGAGAAACGCAGCACTACGATTTCTAATGATTTTTACCTTGACTGGCGCACGAGTCATCATTTCGCCAGATCCACGAGGGAAAATACGCGCTTGTGCAACCATCTCAAGAACAGAGGTTTTACCTATAATATACCACTGCATAGGTGAAAACATACAACTGATCATATCAAACATACCGGCACTCTGATCACCGACGACAACAACCCTTGGCAAATTATCCGCGGTATCATACGAAGAATCATACTCGCTGAGTAGATCAAGCACTTCGGAATACATGTCGATGAGGGAACGCTAAAATAAACAAAATTAAGAAAAACGGAAACAATGTAAAGGTGTGCCGTTCTTAGGGGTATCTCTTTAGCTCATACAATCGCTATTCACCGTGTTGAGCACTTCCGCATCAATTGCAGCACGTGCTGAACACTCAAAGCTTCTCGATATAATCACAGCTATTTAGCTTACGTTCACCCACATGAAAACGAATACAAAAGCAATAAACTATTTCATCGATACCTTCAATCTTTTCAATCGCTTTACAGCACCCTGATCGGCTAAAAGAAGGCGCTGTTTCAACACCTTATTTTCCTTCTCGAGCCTTTCCAATTCTCGTTGATATTGACTCTGAATAAAAACTGACTGAGGTGCATGTACAGCCAAATTATATATTATAAAAGAAAGACTAGAGGAGAAAATGAGAGGGGACAGCAAACAGTGACCGAGTAGCAAGTAACCTAGCAGAATACAGTTATAATAAAGTCACGGTCGATGAGCGATTAAGTTCTATGACCAACAGAGCATTGAGATTAAATGACGGCAACTAGACAAATGCCCACAAAAAGAAATAAAAACGTGTTTGTATTGAAGAATTTGCAATTAGTTCCTCAAGTGAAGTATAAGTTGCTGCTCCTCACATGGAGCTGCTAGCTGCCCCGTAGAAACACAATCTAAAACAGCCTAAAACGGCAATTAAACAGCTGCGCACCTGTGTTCTCAACATCTCTTCTTGCAACCGTTGTATACGTTCATCAGGAGTCTCGCTAGCTTCCTTGTTTTCGTCGTCTTTCTTTGCTCCGAAAGCCGCCATGAGTGACAAGAGGGTGGCTTCTGGAAGCGTGGGAAACTTCGGATTGATGACACTGGTAGTAAAAAAGCGATTGATAAGGAAAATTACCTTTCACAGGCTTTGCGCCCCCGCCTGAATTGCCTTCTTCTTCTGAGGAATGTGATGCTAAAGGTGTTGCTTTGTT